TGGCAAAAATCTATGTGAGTCAATACTAAGGGAGTGATAATAGTACATAGTAGTAATAATAAAATTAACACTCGATACTGGCTATACTACTAGTACATGTACTACTACTAGTGACTACTGTAGTAGACCCAGGTGCTCGAAGTCCGTACATGGTATCCTAAGTTCGTACGCCCATAATGTCATGTTCTGTTATTGTATTCGACTCAAATATTTTATGGAGGGGGCAGTGTGGTATGTTCTCCTCGCGTAGCAATTTTCAGGGATCTACGATGAACAGAAGTCCCATACCACGCGAGTGGGTTTTCGAGTGTCCATACGAAATACAAATTGGGTTACATTTCTTGCAAAAATCAACTTTGCCAAGACCGATTTCGAACGGACACAGCGTCAAACAGACCTTCGCTCAATCATCAAGAGCCAGCTTAGAGCTGACAATGGCCAGAGGAGAAGAATTTACAGAGAACCACCAATCCTTGCAGAAAGGTTGACACTCCTGGCATCTCCACCACTGTTTTCCCGCGGTTTTCACAGCGCAGCTGCTTCTTCTCTGAGCCGACTAAAAACAGCTTGCATTTCGGCCACAAACTACGCTTTTGCAAGAAATACTGGTGGAGGCACATGCCAAACATATCCCTTCGGTGCTTTCGTCGTTACCGAGGGATTGCAAGTTAGCAATTAGCAGAAATATGTGTGTATTGCGAGTCATCTCTGATCAGTACGGACTTAGAGTACCCTCTGCGACACAAAAATTTGATATGAAAAATCAGCGAACTCCAGAGAAACAGATCGGATCGAAAGATGGCCTGGTTCAATCGAGCCTGGCCTCAGAACAAACTTGGACAAGATACCTTCCATCCACGAGCAGGATTCTGGCAAGTGATCATTGCTAGTGTAAGTTTCAGCTCGGCAAACAGTCTCTGTACGGCTGCACTAGCCGTGTTAACCCAGATGCACACATTCAATCCCTGGCTATGCTTTGGAATTGTTTTCGTTGCCTATGTCCTCATCTCTCTTCGTTTTGTTTTCGCTGCCTGGGCTCTCATTTATCTTTGCGTGCTTGCTTGCTTGTATTGCTGAGGGAACATATGCTGGTTTGTATTCGTGGGTCCCCATGATGGTGCATGGGCCACGCGTACTCATCCGGCGGATATGTGTGAATAATAATAATAAACACACACTGTAAAAGTGTACGGACTTCGAGCACCTGGGTCTACTATACTAGCAGATCTACTGACGTCTGTTGTGGACATGGAAATCCGGTCGCACGTCTAGCGGCCCCAGGCCAGGGCCAGGGCGCTAGGGCGCTGGTCATCCCTGCGCCGGTACAGTCATGATGGTCGCATATCGGTTCAACATGTGCATGCACGTGCACTGCATGCATGCAACGACGTAAATAAGTCGTTACGTTCTGTCAATCGACTGGATTTCAGTACAGTGTAGACTAACTGTAGTACAATCATGTACTTGACAGTTGCTATTGTACCGCGGGTGCGCAGACAGTTGCAGCATGCCCGTCTTTTGTAAAACAATCAACCTTGCCGTGTTTCAGAATGTGCGGCTTGTCCTTGCCTGTGGCACCGGGATTCGGATATTGTCCTTGGCCTTGTGATTAAAGATTAGGTCATTCCAGTACTGAAAAGTAACTAGTTTGATCTAGGTTTGCATCAAATAATTCTTCAGGTCATTGTCACGGCTGGATATTGGTGAAAATGTTGAGTAGAATACTAATAGATATTGGTGTAATAAGAACATTGAATTTACTACTTTGAGCTGAGATACGACCCACACGATCGCGCGCGGAGACCCTGTTGTGAACCGGCTGAGGTCTCAGGAAATGGAGCAATCAAATGCAGCTGGCAATGACAGTGCTTGGAGGCTAGCCGACCTGGATTGGCATGACGTTGAACTGGTGTGCGACTTAGATGCATCTGGGGTGTGCACCGACGCTGGTGGATCGGTGGCGGACGTTCGAGTTGCTGGAGAGTTCTGTGGCTGGGAGGAGCAGGATTGGATCGTGATGCAGTGCATTGTCCATACAGCCAGCAGGAGCTCTGAAGACGACACTGTGCGTAATAGGGAAGGCGTGACGTCAACAGCAACGGATGACTGCTGCCCTTGCGAAGAGAGTGGCAGTGCATCGAGCCAGAGCTTGTGCTCAGCGGCATGCCAGCGTTTTGTGGCACGCTTTCGCCTTCTCGAGGGCATGTACCAGTATAAGTTTATTGTGAATGGTGCGTGGAAGAGTGACAAAGGAAATTGTCACCAAGCCGGTGACCAATGGAACTCGGTACTATTTGTGGCATGTGATGTGCCGAATTGGCGCTTAAATGACGGAAGGGTGCCTGCCACCAGGCATTGGAACTCCCCACATTTGGCCCACACTGGTCCAGGCGAAGCGTTCCAGGTCGGTCACCCCAGCGTGCCAGCCCGGAGCAGTGCCCGGGGTGTTTTACCTCGCCCGGTATTTGTGCGTCTTCCTGTGGGCTATTCGGGCACTGGTGAGGCCGGGGCTGGTGAACAGCGCTATCCAGTTTTGTATGTGCTTGATGGCCATGAGGCTTTCTCAACGCCATCACACCCCGATGATACGCTGGGCGGCGGCTGGTGGCTAGATGCACAATCAGATATGCTGACGCAGGACAATGCAACGTGTCCATTCATCATCGTAGGCATTCCAAGCGGCGACTTTGTCTCTCAGCCACCCCTCCGTAAACGTGAGTACTGTCCAGGAGACATGGGCGCAGTCGCTGACGAGGCCTTTTCCGACTACCTACTACAATTCGTTGTGCCGTTTATTGACGGCAAGTACCGTACGCGGGCGTATCCGAAACAGAGGGTCTTACTGGGATTCAGCATGGGCGGCCTTCTTGCATTTCTGCTCGGCTGGAAAGCACCTAGCATCATCGGAAAGGTGATTGCCATGTCACCCTCGTTTTGGTTCCATGATCGGAACAACGTGTCAGCGTACGACGTTGTTCGCAGTGATTGTGAACGCGTTCGGGCAACGTGCGGCATGTCCAAGGAGGCCAGCACTGGCGAGTGCAGCGACGAGTTCAACGTGAATTCTTCACAAGATGCGCATGAGTGCTCTTGTCTCCTAGACCAAATAGTGTTGGAGAAAACAAGGGGGAGCAACGGCGGTAGAACTGACGATCAACTTAGGATATACATTGATTCCGGTGATGGAGAGGGTGACAACCACTATGAGGCGGCGTGCATGAACAGCATTCTCGAGGAGAGCGAGATTCTACGCCGCGACCAACACTACGTGTACAAAGTGGACGCTCGCTCTGCAGACGTTCCATTGGGAGTCACGCACTGTCCGGCCGTTGCACGGCATCGTGTTCACCACGCTCTAAGGTTGTTCTTGCCGCCGGAACAGAACTAACTGCATCCTCAACATGGCGGACTGAGCATTGCTGCTGTAGTCTCTAGGAGCATGTTGCAAACACGTGGAGATTTTAATTTATGGGGATTTCCCTGGATATTAATAATATTATAATTGACTATTCTAATCATGACCATATGAGAGGCACCTGGATCTTGCCTGGTTCAATACTCATGTTGAACATGACTTTATACCCCGAACTCCCGGCCCTTTGAAACGTTTGCTGGTGATACTTGAAATACCAGAGATTGAGCTTGTTGACTCAAGAACTTCACGTTCTCGTCATCATCAAGTCATATGACATTTTAAAAGTATATGTCCTGGACTCCTGGTACTTTTCCTTCTATCTGCATGTTTTTTTGTTGCCATTTTGTACAAGTGAAGTCAGATAAAGATTTTTTAACCCATCTACCCACTGATACATGGGCATGTAACATAATTTTCTCTATCTGGGACAAGGGGGGGGGGGGGGGGCAGTATGCCTGTGAGAGACAAAGCCAAAGCAGGACTGACCCATCACCAGATGGGTGTCAATGGCTTCCAACAATCCCTAAGTTATAACACTCCCGATATTTAAAAAGGCGACGTGGAGACAATAATCTTTTAAATAATGCAATGAATAAAACTACTTGACTGTATAGGCGCACTCATATCACAATCATCCCAAGTTGTACATTGTACTGTTGAGATACCGAATTCAAATAAATCAATACCTATCAATACCATAGAGTTTACATTGACGCGGCAAGAAAACGTTCTGGAACAATTGGTTGCTATGATTGGGATAATGATGAGTGCGCCTATAGTTTTATTCATTACGGCACCGCTACTCAGTAGTGATATTTCAGCTTTTACTTTACAGTAGGTGCAATGTAGCCGGTTGCCCAAATGACGTCAAGCCGCATGATATTATGTAGCTGTTTTGTTTGTAGCCTGTAATCCTCTTCAATTACATAATTCTTTACACATTGAACAATGATTCTTCAGAATTCCCAAACTCCATTGCGGCGCATTTCTTGCACTTAAAAACACCGCCATTCCGGCAACAGGCTCTCAGCTGCACCAAATAAAGTGTTTTTGCCTCCCCTTCCTCAATGCCCTGATGATGCCCAATGGGCGAAATATTTGGCAAAGTTATTTATTTGGTGTGTTGCCGGAATGGCGGTGTTTTCAAAATAATGAACAATGATCTAAAAAGTTATGACCATTATTCTGTGCATGAATCCACGAAATGGAGTACATCTACTGGTACTAGATCGTGTAGATCTACTCTACAGCTGAGCTGTTCATAATCCATGCTGTCAATGACTCATACGTGTCATACCGGTACCCGTCCTAGTATTATAATTATCTAACTCCTATGCGCATACCTTTCACTTTCAGTGTTGCATGATCAAGACCATGTAGGTTTTATAATAAAAGTATGACTAATTATTATTATTACCATATCTAGGCTACAATGTAGGGACTCAGATATCATTATCAGTGAGGCTTTTACAGTTTTACAATTATTTTTTTACTACAAAATGTACTACTGTATACAATGCAGTACCGGTATGTAACATTTTTACGACTCCCTGATCAAGACTGACATTGACAAGAGGTGAGGCTCGAGGCGCAAGGCATGACTGACATGACTTGTGTTTTTCAAAATGTTTATAGAATGAAGAACTCCCGGTGTGATTAGTATTGTCGTACATATTAGTCTTAGTCTGCTGTCCAGGTCCGAGGAGTACCCAAAGATGCCCAAAGTTACACCTCTGGACATCGGGGCGGTATCATTCGATACCGGACCTCCAGGACAGCCCACGCTCCCGCTAACGATCACGCCCAAAGGCGAATGCAGCGCTGAGTTCCTGGCGAGCTGGGCGCACGAGAACGAATCTTGGCTGAAACAGAAAACTACAGAACATGGTGAGTGCAGAAGCATACGTTCACAGGCCCTTCAAATATCGTTCTCCACTAGGATACTAGGCTGTGATGATGGAGACTGAAATTATATTCATTCTCAGCTGTGTTTCATTCCATTTCTTCACGTCCGCCCGAGATACAAAAAAAGAAAGAAAGGTAAAGGTGTACAATGTAGTTTAAGGTCCCAAATTATTTCGCACTTCCCCAGTGTTCTGTGTACGTACTGCTACCAAGACTGCAAGAGTACATAACCCCCAGAGTGTGCAACTCCCACATACCCTGCTGTCCCGACAGAATTTCAAGTTGACGTCATTATTTATGTCGCAATGCTCCTTGCACCAGTGATTTACAACATGTGTACGGGTGTCAACGCATCACACGTTTTTCTTTGCAATAATTTGTACAGGATCGATGGGCTTCGGTCAACCACAGGTTCCGGATTCGTCTGATAATCCGTGTACAGTGCGCATTGCATCATCTAAATGACGTCAACTTGAAATTCTGTCGGGACAGCACCCATTATGCGACCCATAGTCGAGTTGCACACTCTGGGGGGGGGGGGGGGGTTATGTACTCTTGCTGCTACGCGTGCTTTCTGTGTACCTGAACCCCAGAAACCTTGCATGACAGTACACAGAACACTGGGAAAGTGGGAAATAATTTGGGACCCTACACTGCACCGTTACCGAAAGAAAGATGGAACTGTTCATAGCTCAGGATCTCCCAAATAGAGAGACGTGCTATAAGGGCCCAGGGGCCATCCGAAAATACATGTACAGTCTGTATCGGCTATAGCGTACCCTTTTGATTTCCGTGATTTTATCACTATAACCGATGCATCACTATATGCGATACGATCGTTTTTTTCTTCTTTTTTCGATCGACACATGAAAGGCAAAGAAATACTTCCAGCATGGCGTTTTGACAAATGAGCATGCGGCATAGTTGACAGTGCCCGCATTTCCATAAAAAATTCTGTTATGTACATGTACATGTATCACTATAAAAATAAGCAACGTGAAGAAAGTAAAAAAATAGGGCCTTTGATATTATTGCTACATGTATTTTAAAGTTATCACTATAGCCGATACTAAAAATGGTGTGTTACATGTACGTCGGTCTATGCGTAACTCGTAGCAAAAAGTATCTTCTATCATTATTGGTCGTGGTTGACCTGTTTTAGAATATCCTCTTAGCACGCATGGCCTATTAATTACGGAAATTGTTTTCGTGACATCTTTCATTTGATGTCTTGTTGCACACATTATAACAGGTGCTATTCGGTTCCGTGGCTTTGCGGTGACATCCGCTGTGGAGTTTGAGAAGGCCATTCTTAACCTGGACGTAGAAATGAGCAACAAATACCGAGGCACGTCACCCCGAGTGCTGGAGCCGGGAACGACAGTAAGTATGTATACATTCATGAGCATACATGTAGATCCTGCTTGTATTGCTGTGCTGCGGTGGAAGTACAAGTCATGTATGTTGTATGTTCATGTATGTGTTTGTATTGGCGCTGCTCTGAGGTATGCATGTTTCACCCTCTATGTTGGAACAGACTGTGAAGGATTCATCGTTTACATGTTCGTCACGGTGTTCTTATGAAATGGTTTATCACACAACACCTAGTCATTGCATGGGATTGTCTTGTAGCAAACATAAAATGATTGGTGGAGCCTGGATAATATGCATTATCTTATTGTCCGGAGTGTAAGGCCACACCAAGTTATTTCTATGTTTCACGTCACCGCGCTCGTACCATTTCGAATCGTTAATAATAAGAAAAAAAGCACCCGGACGAGTCTATCGATGGCTGTTCTGGCGAATATTCTCTAGCCAGTATGGCAGATCAGAGGTTATCTATCAGCTTCTTGATAATCTTGCATTCCAAGCGATGGTACTTAGAAAGTGCGAGCGATGAAAGTTCTTTCCAAGCCGTCCGGGGGGGCCTGCTCACCGAGCGAGCGTAGATTCCACTTGTCAAGGACTCCGAGATTTTTCCAGGATTGTCGTGATGGAGAGAAATTCCACTCGACTCATGTCAAAGCGCAGAAGAAGCTATCCATGAAATCTGTTGCAGAATCGTTCCAGCCCAGTCTATCAGCTGTACTGTGCCGACTTTGTGTCGATTTTGATAAGTGACAGCTTACAGACTGAGTGTAGTGGTGCTATTCTGTGTGCAACATCGCTCAGTACACGTAGAATGGAGTTTTTTCTTCTGTTTTTTCGCCCGCCCGTGTGGCTTTGGCAGAAAATTTCCGACGCGAAACATAGAATTAGCTAGGTGTGGCCTAAGCCGCACTGGAGTCTAAGCCGCACTGGAGTATAATCCGCACCCAGATCCTTTGTCATGAAATGCAGGCATCTACCCTATGTATCGCCGTTAAGTCGCAACGACTTTTTTTGAGTGAATTACTTGTATAAAAAAGTGTGGCTTATACTCTGGAAAATACGGTACTTTATGACAAATAATGCTGACCGCCAGTTTCCAGACTATGTGTGTGGTCTGCTGCTATGTATGTCCGATGTATTGTTCTCTTTCATGCAGTATATCTTCTCTGCGTCCGAAGTACCGCCGTTTCTTCCGATTCCCCAGCACATCGAGATGAGCTTTCTACCGTCACCGCCGCATTGGATATTTTTCTGTTGTTTGAATGCGCCAACGTCGAAGGGTGGAGAAACGTCTCTTTGCGACTTTCGACGAGTCTATGACGACTTAAATCCCGAGTTCAAGCAACGTCTTTACGAGAAGAAGGTATGCGCAGAGAGAATGTATGTTTTGCCACATTATAATATTTCGGAACAAAGATGTAGCTTTGGAAACTACACCGGTCTTACACAGCCGCGCTCCTGCGTCCCTGCTGCTACCCTCCGAGAGTCCTGTTCTGATTACATTACATTGGGCACCGTCGAAAACGATAGTAGTCGGCTGGGTTACCCGATTCAAACAACCTACTGGCGTACTCGCATGATTACCTTCACTGTCCAGCACAGATGGGACACTATTCAAGACAGGGCACTATTTGTTTTTAATGCAGGTACATTTAGGTCATCCAGGATGAAAACGAAGAAAAACAGAGCCAAAGTTTACCGTGAACTATCACGACTCGACAGAAACAGCAACAAGAACTGCGATGTTGATCCTGATACCATCAGTGCATGGACACAAGACTATTAGCAAAAAAAACACAAAACGTGAACATGCGCTTGGCTGCAAGCCCGGGGAGGGGGGAGGGGCACTATTCAAGAGAGGACATTATTTTTTCACTGGATCTTAGAGACTGGGGCACTATTCGAGAGAGGGCTCTAATCGCGCGAGTACGGTACTACTATCACAACTACTACTGTAAAAGCCGTTATTCCCGTAGCTATGCAGAAGACGTTACTTCAGTAACGTCTGGCGCTAGCCAGGGTCCACATAGCTTTAATTCCCGTAGCTATGCAGAAGACGTTACTTCAGTAACGTCTGGCGCTAGCCAGGGCCAAGATAGCTTTTAATTTGGTGTTTATTTGTTTGTTTATTTGTGTCACGCCTGGTGCTATCCCGTATCTGTCCCGTACCGTACCGTACCATCAAAGACAGCTGGCCACAAACAGCTGGTCACAATATTCAAATAGGGCTTCCAAAATTAATGCAAGATCATAACGTGAAACAACTTGGAAGAATGAGTATGAATGCGAAGTGTATCGGGGAATCATCCGAATGCATGTAGGGCGATAGTGCGGGCTCGAATCCCAGGTTATGCCTTGGAAAAAAAATTGGCGAAATGAAAATTTTATAACATCCCTATGCTTTTTTTGCCTAGGTCATCAAGGCAAAAAAGCATAGCGTAGGGCCCTGAGCTTCCAAGCTCTCTCGTTCTAACGTGGCACCGCATATATAACGATTTCCTAAAATTGACTGTTTTACGTGTACCAAAGGTAACGATTCTCACTCATTCTCAACGCTCAATAGCAACAGTATTGTATCAATTTCTGTATAATGATTTCTATTTTAACGACAGATTTCTACCTCGTTAACTCGTTAGAGTTAGCACTTCGTTATAAATATGGCTTGTACAGTATGACACAGAACAGCAATGGCAGGGCTAGTTGGTCACTACTCTGAGCTTCAATCATCAGCCAACCACTAGCTACTACACCAATATTGCTATTCAGCAAAGAGTCGTAGGATCAGATCTGGGGAGATGACCCGCGAGACTAGAATGGGGAATGATGTAAGTGATAGTTTCGCTCCCAGGCCAATGGTTCCAGTCGCACTTGGCGCAGGGTCGATTTGTGAACGCTCGCACAGTCACGGCACCGCAGGTCTAGGCCCTGTTTAGAGCCAGCAAGCCAAGATCGCAATTGCAAGTTCCACAGCCCACGGCCGTCTCATATAACTCCCTAATCCGAGATCAACATGCACACCGTGTCGGAAACCAATCTCTTGAGAGTTGTCTCCCTAGATGCCATGGTTCCCTGATGTTCAACTTGAGATCTAGTTGATCACATGAGTGTTACATAACCCCGTGCTAGCGGAGGAACTCAAACTAGGTTTGTAAGCCATACAGGTATGTACACAAACTCAAAAAAGACCTACAGCAAGGCTCTTTCGTTCTCTCTCTCTCTCCCCCCCCCCCCATCTCTCTCTCTTTCTCTCTCTCTCTCTCTCTCTCTCTCTCTCTCTCTCTCTCTCTCTCTCTCTCTCTCTCACTCTCTCTCTCTCTCTCTCTCTCTCTCTCTCTCTCTCTCTCTGTCTCTCTCTCTCTCTCTTCTCTCTTCTCTCTCTCTCTCTCTCTCTCTCTCTCTCTCTCTCTCTCTCTCTCTCTCTCTCTGTCTCTGCCTCTCTCTCTGTCTCTCTCTGCCTCTCTCTCTGTCTCTCTCTGTCTCTGTCTCTCTTTCTCTCTCTCTGTCTTCTCTTCTCTCTCTCTCTCTCTCTCTCTCTCTCTCTCTCTCTCTCTCTCTCTCTCTCTCTCTCTCTCTCTCTCTCTCTCTCTCTCTCTCTCTCTCTCTCTCTCTCTCTCTCTCTCTCTCTCTCTCTCTCTCTCTCTCTCTCTCTCTCTCTCTCTCTCTCTCGCGCGCGCGCTCTCTCTATCTATCTTTTCTCTCTCTCTCTCTCTCTCTCTCTCTCTCTCTCTCTCTCTCTCTCTATCTCTATCTCTCTATCTATCTATCTATCTCTCTCTCTCTCTCTCTCTCTCTCTCTCCTCTCTCTCTCTCTCTCTCTCTCTCTCTCTCTCTCTCTCTCTCTCTCTCTCACACACTAAGATATTTGTGGACATCACGCTACTGCATTATAGAAAAAGGGGGATTTGCCAACTGATAGAGCGGTTGTCAGTTGACACATCCCGTCTCTCGCACTGCTGATAAATAATCGTAGGATATTGCACTATCTCTGGCGCAATGACTTACTATGATGCATCTTTTCTGAATGGCCTGTGTGTAGGTGAGGTACGTTCGCAACTATCGTCAGAAGAGCCAAGCAATGGACATTGACCTTTCCATGCTCAAAGGCTGGGAGGACCTCTTTGAGACTACAGACAAGGCAGCCGTTGAAGATGATGCAAGGTAGGCATGCAGGAGAACGGAAGTCAGTGTAATCGCAGGACCGAAGGGAGCAGTTTTTCATTTTTGGTCCGGCCACACCACACCCTTTTATACAGTTTGTGTGTGATGTAGCTTGTACTTCGAAGTACGCATACCCTCCTCAGCAGTAGACATACATGAGTCCGACAAGCTGGTCTGGTGATGACCCGACAAACCAGGCTGGTTCTGGCGGGTCTGGACTGGACAAAAACCCACCAGCAATGCATGCTTGTAACCTTGCCCGATAGTATGCATTGCTCAGATGTATGATTATCATGTGATATGGAGACAGACTAATCAACTCCGCATTGCACAGCAGGGTATCTCATAATGGCTCCTTGAAGTGGGGCTGTCCTAGTTGAGGTGGAACCTGCCTTCACCTACATCAGAACCTGTGGCGCAGCTGTTTAGCCAAGCAGGGAGATGTAGTTGAGTACGATTTCCAGTGGCCGGATCAATCGCCCTTATTAATGCCCACACCGCATCCTTTCTGCAAGGAACTGACCGCCCAATTATGCCCCCATTTCTTGTCCGGTGTCCTCCAGGCAAGATGATTTGACAGTTGATTGGAAGGAGAATGATGATCTACGGCTAACTAATGTTTCGGAGCCGTACCAGGTACACCCAGAGACTGGAGACAAGGTGTGGTTCAACCACTTGCAGGTGAGACAAACTAATGTTCAGTTGCATGTGGCCATTACCTGCGTAACCACTTTCAGGGTGGTGTAGCCCTTTCCCAAATATGCCAAAGTATTTCGCAACTCAACCATGCCAAAACACGTGAACGTTGCTGAAATTGCATCCATATCTTCTAAACAAGCTCAATAGTAGCTAATATCGCAACTCAAAAGGTGTGCATTCTTTTGTGCATACATTGATGCCGAGAACAACCAAAAATGAGCAGAAATAGACAAACTGTGGCCTTAAGTGTGGGTATTCAGTACTTGGCGTCGAAGAACTGGGGAATCAGCATCGTAGCCTATGCCGTCAGTCTCATTTTCACGTACAACAGTCTATGCGCTGTGGAGTAACGGCATACTGTGCTTGGTAAATTAGTATCCTGTTCGTTATTCGGCGCTGCGTTCCTCGGCGCCTGACAATACTGCACGTACTACGTGTTTCCAAGTGTGTGTGTGTGTGTGTGTGTGTGTGTGTGTGTTTGTATGTGAATTCGTGTGAGTCTATTCACATGTGCGTATGTATATACATTCAGGAGATCTTACGTGCATGTCTGTGCCGCTGTAGCAATATGAATGTGCACCTGAGGCCGTGAACACATTTTGTTGGATGTTGCTCTGCACAGCTCTTTCACCAGAAGTTGCTAGCACGTGAGCTGATGCACTCCGCCCGTCGTACAGGCAACCTACTCCGGTGGCTGTTTGCCTGGCTACTGCTGCTCCTCTCGCACATCATTCTGTTTGTGAGGGGTTCTGAAAATCTTGGAATGCATACAATGTATGGAGATGGTAAGTCTTTTAATGAATTGAAAAAAAGAGGTCTCACTTTACATGTACCGTAAAGTCGCGGATAAAAGCCGGGTTTGCATACAAGCACATCGCGGATAGAAGCCTGAAAATCAAACGGGTCAAATGCATATAAGCCTGTCGCGCGTAGAAGCCTGGCTTCTATGCAAGCGCGGATCGGGTAGGTCAAGAGTGCATGCGCTATGTACAGTGCATAGTAAAACGGCCGCCATACCGGTGGTCAGTGGTAGATCTACGCGTGTCGCGCGTAGAAGCCTGGCTTCTAAGTAAGTTCTATGCAAGCCCGGATCGGCCGATGTGCATACAAGCCTGGCAAAAATATCAGTGGTGCATATAAGCCTGGTTTGCATACAAGCCTGGTTTGCATTGAAGCCTGATGCAGAAACCGGCTTATGTGCTTATAAGCCCGGCTTTTATCCGCGACTTTACGGTATGTATTTGAAAAGTCGTGAACGGTGCCATTCGCCTGTTCAATATTGCAACAATTTCTCCTCCTCTTCTCTGTGAGGGTAGTCGCCTGAGAGTGCATGGAGGAGAAAAGGAGGAGAGATTGTTTGATTCATTTATTATGTATTTTCTACATTTTTGTTGTGTCAACACAAACAAGATCCGTCTTTCTGTTTAGCTGTGTGTTTGTTTGTTGGTTAGTTTGCCTGCTTGTATTATTACGGAGCATCAGCAAATCGAATTTTCGATTTGATTATTCGAATGGCAAAAAGAAAATCAGAGAGAAAATTCGAATGAAAAAGAGGTTCAGCATGTAGCGCAGTCCAGTATTTTCGAATTGAGTTTTTTTTAGCTTGAGCAGTTGAGGACTGGGATTTTGAGATGTGCAATGAACGGAGTTGCTGTTGTTTCTCATTGCCTTTGGGGATGACGCGAAGCGGCGGATGCTTCATCCGATTCAGGCTATTGGCGATAGGATCTCTCTTGGAGACCCCTTGAAAAGGCGGATCTCGGCCGAGCTCCTCCGCTATCCCTTGCATATCAGGAGACCCGCGGACGAATAGGTGAGGGTGGGCCCTACACTGCCTCAGCAGAATGAGATCCATGGTAAGGTCGACCCTCAAATATTTGGCACACTTTGAGTTGCCCTCTCCCTGCGGGGAACTCACCATAGACGCAGATGCCGAGACAACGCCAGCAGGGCTACTGCAGTACTGGGAGCAGGAGGCATACCGGGGCTGGTAGTTGGTGACAAAGCCATGATTCCAGGATACTTGAAATGAAACAAAATGCACACTTGATAAAACTTTTCACAGTTCGAGAGAGAGGAAAGCGTCAAGATTGACAAGAAGTCCGGACTAGTACTTTAGTAAGAACTAGTAGCTACATGCGCAAGAATGAGTACTCGTAGTGCGCCGTGTACTAGAGCACGCGCGGAGCATTCGAAAAGTATTCGAAAAGTATTTTCTGTTTGCGGGCATTTTTCAGTCGAACAAAGCCCTAGTTTCGACTGATTGAGTGCTTTTCGTGACGATTCTCGAATTTCATTCGAATATTCGATTTGCTGATGCTCCGTATTATTTCCGTCAGTTTGTCTGGTCATGTGCCGAAGAGCCTGACTCGCTAGAAGCGGTAGCGCAGCACTACGACTGTGTGTCATCCGCTACAAAGATGTCCATCGCTAGTAGTGTGATGTACTCTATGCCAGTCGTTTAGCGTAGTGTGATGTACTCTATGCCAGTCGTGTAGTGTAGTGTGATGTACTCTATGCCAGTCGTATAGTGTAGTGTAGTGTGATGTACTCTATGCCAGTCATATAGTGTAGTGTTAGTAATACAGGCAGACAGTCTAGTGCACCATAGATAGAATAATTATACTATGTCGGACAAAGTATCTTTTTAGAATCTTGTATTGTACTTTACCAGATTATTTAGTCTTTGAGTACAATGTAACCAGTTTTTGTGAATACTATTCTGCAAAAGAATATAGAATTTAAGATCCTTGTCGGTACATTATACTCAATTTCTGTGATTGGGAAATGTGCATTGTCATGAAATCTGCATTGTCGTGAAATGTGCATTGCCGTACCGTTGGCGTAATAGAGTTAATGGTAACAGTGCCGACCTGTACATAGACTATGGCAATAGAACTAGGTGCTGAATATGAGTTTGGGGCGATTGGATATCGTAGTGCAGCAGGCGTGTACTATAGCAAACTCCATGCATAGTACTGCTCAATGCGACTAACGTTTTGCATGCAACAAGTTCCCATCATTAGTTTGTTCCCTGCACCCCTACTTGAATATGCCCCACTGGCCTGGTCGAGCGCAGCCGCAACTAACATGGCCCAGCTGGATAAGGTTCAGCAACGTGCCCTGCATTTCCTGGGACCTGGAACGATCCTCCAAAGGCTTCAGCTTTGCCGGATGGTGGCAGCCCTGTCATACTTGTACAAGCTGCACTACGTTCCAGGGCTTCCACAGGTAAAGGCCATACTGCCACCAGCCAAGCCCCCTGCAGTAGCTAGCATGCGCACAGGGCAAAAATGTCAGACGCACCTTGGCTTCCAGCTGAAGTGGACACCCCCTCGCACAGCCCCTGACTACCTCCTGCGATCCTTCCCCTTCTTCGCCATCACACCCTGGAACAACCTGCCTGCAGACCTCCTGCTTCACGAACCTCATTCAAGACGCCTCCAAACCTTCAAGGTCAGCGTATGTAAGGATCTAATCCGAAAGAGATGGCTGTGGTCCACACAGTACCTGTGACGATGATATTGAGACCCATTTAGTATTTACCTTTCTACTAGTACTTTGCTTGTTATGATTATTGTTTTCTTTTTTCTTTTTCCCTTTTGGTTTAGTTATTACACGTATTATTTGGTGCAATACTAGCGTGCCCCTTTCTCGCACCAAATTATTATTTTTGCTACTTGACCATGCACCCCCCCCCCTTTTTTTCTTCGATGGCAGGTTGCAACGCTAACGCCGAGACCCCTGGGTGGTTGAGTTGCTTCCTGTACATCGGCACGTCGTCCCTACATCCCCTGTGTCTTGTTTTGTGTTTGTCTCCACATGTCTCTTTGTAGGGCTGTGTTCCCAATAAAATAAAATAAATTTAAAAAAAACGCTGTCTAATCCCGTGTGCACTGCTCAGGCACGGAAGTATCCCGTCAGGATTGTGACCACCTGCAAGAAACTGTCTGGAAGCACACCAAGTACGATCGCTGGCAGCTTGGCGACATCCTGATGATCGACAACTTGGCCATCTCTCACGGCCGACAGGTAATGTTACAGTGGGCCAAACACAACGTACGGAGTAGCCAATTTATCTGAGAATGCTACTGCAATACACTGTTGTTCAGGCAATTACTATTATAGTTGCAGACGAAGTATATAGTCAAGGAGATCACGTTCTCCCCCTCCCCCTATATTCACCCTCATCATGTGAAGCCATGAGAAATTTACAAGCAAGAACGATTTCCCTTGTTCTGTGTGTGTGTGTGTGTGTGTGTGTGTGTGTGTGTGTGTGTGTGTGTGTGTGTGTGTGTGTGTGTGTGCATTGTGCAGCCGTTCACAGGAAAGCGCAAGATAGTGGTGGGATGGGCTAATCCGCTACCGAAAGAAAACAAACCCATTGACGACTTCTCATGAGTGGTCTCAGTATGCTTAGTCATGATCCCTCAATCCAATCCAGCAAAACAATTTGTTTGAAATTCATACAGTTCAATGCCTATGAAAAGTATATCTTGTGACAGCAGGTTTATTAGTAAAAAGAGAATGATTTATCATGGCATGCCTTTCAGTTCGGATAATTGTTTGTTTTATTGCTGAGATTTTCGAAAGCTGGTACAATCCTTCATGCTTTCTTTCTTGCTGTTAGATTTTTACCAATTCACAATGATGTCAGAGTACTAGTGGCAGTGAAATCGTTGCCAAAGTTGATGAAGACACGCTAGGCATGACATTTTTCCATGATAACATCCTGTCGGCATCACTTTTTATTTTGTTAGCCGAAGGCTGCTGTTAGTAAACACTTTAGAAGTCCCTCACAAGCTATTGTGAGGTAAATATTTCATGCCCATCCTTACGCTATCATTTTCGTGAAGTAGTTCAAGGACCCTAGCCGTGATGCGTGGACTGAATTTCTGCTACAAGCCACATAACAGTGCCGGCCTGTGCAATTGTTGTATTGGTCCGCGCCATACCACAGGCGTTCACAGTTTGTGTATGTCATGGCGGCTACACATGACCGCCGCAGTAGATAGCACACGTACGTTGGTGGCCAAAGAGTTGGTCCGGCCATGGCCTGACCAAATGGCCTGACCAAACGCACCGGTTCCGCTGCCCATGCAATACCAGATGCAGAACATGAAACCATGCATACGTGACTGCAGTGTGTTGACGAGACAGGAATGACTCCAGAACATGAAACCATGCATACACTGCAGCGTGTTGACGAGACAGGAATAACTCCAGAACATGAAACCATGCATACACTGCAGCGTGTTGACGAGACAGGAATGACTCCAGAACATGAAACCATGCATACACTGCAGCGTGTTGACGAGACAGGAATTACTCTAGAACATGAAACCATGCATACACTGCAGCGTGTTGACGAGACAGGAATGACTCCAGAACATGAAACCATGCATAGACTGCAGCGTGTTGACGAGACAGGAATGACTCCAACGACCTTCAGGTCTCGGTTTTGCTGTCAATCCTGCGTACCAAATTAGGAAAAAAAGAAACCGTTTTAACAATTCACTTAAGAACGGGATAGAATGTAGGTAAAGAGATTAAAAGAGATTAAAAGAAAGAAAAATGGAGAGGCAAAATGGGAGTATCTGGATAAGAAGAGTGGCTGTGTAAACGGTAGTCACAGATGGCTGGTTGCCTGCAGCCTACAGGTTTGCAGAAAGTGCTTGTCCGACAAATATATATCACAGGCTGTTCATTGCATGCCCACACTACAGCCAGTGGCTTAGCAAAAAGGTGTTCGGAAGTGGGAGGGGGGGGGGGGGGGGGACAAAAGGATGAGAGGGATTCATTTCAAGAATCGTATTCATCTTCCAGTCCACACTCTTCGATTTCACAATCCTCAGCTTCACAGCGGCGTATCAAAGCCGCCTCCTCATCGTCTCTGCATGCTGTGAATTCAGCAACTGCCTGCTCATCACTGGTTGCAGCCTTCGCAGCCTCATCACCTGCATCCGTGATCCATTTGTCATTGCCTGTAACGCTACGCAGTCCTCTTGCGCCACGCATGTACCGCTCTGATTGCAAGCTGCGGCATAGACTGTACTTTGTCCAGTCGTTCATTTTCATTATTCCGTTCACGGACTCTGTCTTGCATATCTCTACCAGCTCTTCCATAGTATCTATGCGGCAAGTCTTACACAGAGTGGCGAAATGCTCACAGTTGCTCTTGAAGATGTGGTAACTGCTGAACAAGTGCGGTTGGTTTTTGAGTAACCAGCGTGCGATGTCGGCAGCATGTGAACGTGGAGCATCCTGTCCCCGCAGCTCAACTGACTTGTTCCGTTCGTAGTCTGGTGATATGCCATCAATGCCATAGGGGTCCTCTGCTGGATGTTCCTGATTAGGGGTTTCCCCTAAGTAGGAGTATACCAGCACTTTCTTATCTCGATACTGCATGAACGTGCCCAGATCATGGTGAATGATTTGGGATGAGAACAGCGAAGAAAATCCTCCCAAGCCCTTCATGACCACCTCCCTCGCCCTGCGTCTAACACCTCCAGGTAGAAAGAGTGGCGTCACGTCTCTCTTTTGAGGCCTTTCCTTCGATGGTCGTCCGAACTGAATGACTTTCTTGTTCACTGCATCATAAATTCCTTCATAGATAAGTATGACACACATGAAAGAGGTGCAGCAATTTAATAAGGGAGACGATATGTGTGTGGACACTGACATAACAATTAGGATCAGCCAAACCAATATATTGCTTAGATCGTGCCTATAACTTAAGTATAAGCGTCGGTAGTGGATGAGAAAGAACAAAGCATTGTGTCAAGTTGGATGACTAGCAGATCCTTAACATGGGTTCCATACATGTACATGTACATGTGGGCATTCCAAGAGGCACACATGCATGTACTGCATAGCAGGAAAGTTTCGGACGGAAATATTTTCGGACAAAGCCGAACTTCGACCTTTGGTACAGATTACATATTCGTACAGTGCTGCATCAGTGCATGCTAAATAAACGTGTTTGCAAGCAGTATGTATGTACTGCTGCATGTATAGAGTACATAATCTCACATGAACAAACTTTAGTACGGAATTAATTTTAGTGCAAAAAAACGTACGAAAATAAATTCCTTCCGAAAATTTCCTGCTATACAGTATATCGATAAATCGAATAAGCTTGCACACCATGAGTATATGTATGTCATTTGTGCAATTGGGAGTAGGGGTCAAATAAGTGCATAGGGTCAACAATTACTGCCTCGATATGTCGCAGCTGAACCGTGACTCGAGTATGCTACGGCTTACTTTAAAAGCAGTGCACCAGTCATGTACTTGTATATGTACTGCAGTCAGTCAGTGTACAGTGTGCTATGGGTATGTACTTGTATATGTACTGCAGTCAGTCAGTGTACAGTGTGCTATGGGTATGTACTTGTATATGTACTGCAGTCAGTCAGTGTACAGTATCCTATGGTCATGTACTTGTACTTGTACTGCAGTCAGTCAGTGTACAGTGTGCTATGGGTATGTACTTGTACATGTACTGCAGTCAGTCAGTGTACAGTGTGCTATGGGTATGTACTTGTATATGTACTGCAGTCAGTCAGTGTACAGTGTGCTATGGGTATGTACTTGTACATGTACTGCAGTCAGTCAGTGTACAGTGTGCTATGGGTATGTACTTGTACATGTACTGCAGTCAGTCAGTGTACAGTGTGCTATGGGTATGTACTTGTACATGTACTGCAGTCAGTCAGTGTACAGTGTGCTATGGGTATGTACTTGTACATGTACTGCAGTCAGTCAGTGTACAGTGTGCTATGGGTATGTACACTTGAGCGCTATCTTCGGGTGCACGGTTACATGTGACTCTGGTCTAGCAAGTTTAACACGTATGACACTTTCTGGCTAGGACACACCTGAGCTCGAAATTCCACCAAGCTTGTCATCGCCTGATGCGTTGTGACCAAAATTAATACTTTACCGCCATTTTCAACCTAACAATCTTCTGATTTTGTTGGTTAGAGACGTGAAAATTGATTGTGACGAATTCTGGATATCAGACCTAGCAAATAACTGTGCATATGTGTAAATTCGGAAACACTTTTCTCAAGGTTTGGAGACTCCACTGTAGCCAATACTTGAATCCATACATCCTGTACACTGTCTATAATCCTGATGATGGGCCTTGCCCGAAAATTTGAGCTAATGTATATCAATTGCAGTGTAGCCTAGAGACCGTTAGAGAGAGTGTGTACAAGGTGTGTGTACAGGATGTATGGATATGTGTAAATGTACATTGTTTTGTAGAATACAAACTCAGAATTTACCGAATTATCTCAATTTGTCTATAATCCGAACTTACAACTTGTTTAAAAACATCGTTTGATTTAAGAAAATGTTCGTTGATAGAAATGGTCTTACAAGAACACACTGGCTTGACCCGATTTGGAATTCATTTCAGCAGTAGGCAAGAGTGCTGTGCAGTGAGGTGAGTTAGTACGTAGTACGAACACCACCCGTGATCGTCAACAGCGAATAGCGCTTACACTGGTGTCTTACCATGATGAGAATATCGGTACCGGACAGTCCCGTCTGCATTGGCAGTCTTCGTTTGCCACTTGAAACGGCGCACAAACACATGATCACCGTCTTTGAGCTCTGCCGCACTCTTGGCCACAATTTTGGGTTGCGCCTCCATCTCAAAGGAGAACAACTGCAACACACATCCAGATGTACATGTACATTGAGCGGTATGAGAATATGTCTGGCCTTGCACTGCACCAAGCCATGTACATGTATAATTATGTAAGTACCATAATGATCAAGTCTGCATTGCAGGTAACTACAAAAGTCCAATGAAGCAAATTAATTTCGTCGCAGCTCTACCCCCCCCCCCCCCCCCCCTGCTATTTTAAACTTTCTTTTCCGGACAGTATATTATTAAGAATAGGATGAGTTGCACGGATCATCGAATAAAGCCTGCGAAAAGAAAAAAAATTGCGTCTAATTATATGAGCCAGAAGTGAAGCGAATTCAAATAAACATTAAAAAAATAAATAAAAAAAGACGTCAATGCTAGGGTCCGGGTGCCACCATTTCCAATGAATGGACAGTGGTGTTCCTGCACTGTTAGCAACTTATCAGGCTATACTATGTATAACCGATACGTACTACCGGTACCGGTAATAATCACATCTGATTTATTCATCTGGTCGAGGTAGTGGTAAAAGTCTTTATTATTTCAAGTACCAATTATTTGAATCTCTAGGCGTCTCGCGAGCTCAGTCGGCACAGCACGTTCGGTTTGCGTTTCGCGAGTCTGGTTGACCAGATTGGCGAAGTATCCAACTGTTCTCGTTTTTCGGCTCAGAGAAGAAATTTCAGATAAATGCAGAGCCACAACCGCGTTCTCTTCTCTCGATTATCGAGTGTCATACACGAACGTTACGTTCAATGCACAGCACATTGCTAATACTAGTGCTACAGGAGAGTAAGTGGGAGACTCGATACGGAACTACACGCAGGTACATGTACATGTACATGTACTTCAGATGGCAAAGGAAGAGATTCTTTACCGCCACTTTCAACCTAGCAGCAATCTTCTGAAAAAAGAGAAAAGGAAGGAAGGAAGAGATTCTCGGACATTCTGATCCTGCAGATCCTGAGATGCCTTGATGGACCCACCTTACCTCACAGACACAGACTTGTAGCGCTTACGATTCTTCCGATGAATGACGGCTGACTCACAACCTACTGATAAGTGATATGCAAAGTCTAAGACTACGTCTACCACTAGTACAAGTAATACTAATAGTAAATGACCTGGAATAGCTGGATCATGCTGAGCGATTCCTTTCCTCTGCAATGCCGAGCAGTTCCTTTCCCGCCACTCACTGTGGGAAGTCACCCGTACGTGTAGATACTAGATACACCGTGGTGTAGACCTACCGTCCTAAGTCCTTAGCTTAGGCTTACTAGGTCTACGTGTAGTAGTAGCCCCAAGGCTCTAACTAAAGTCTAAGTCTAAGGGCAGTAAGGCGTATATAGTACTAGTACTGCAGTGACTGCTAATGAGAGCCAGCCTGATCTATAACACTAACAGTAACAGCTGATACTGTTACTGCGCGTATCAGTAGGTCTACAATGTACTGACTGTACTGTACATGTAGTAAGGCTAAGAGTACGATTGTACTGTACTCTGTAGTAGAGTCTACTTGTTTTTCCACCGCAGGACTGTACTTCTAGAATTCTGACCTGCACGTTTCCGCAGGTGCTTGCAGGGGACTCCCCCGCCCCCCGCTAGGCAACACAGCTGTACAGGCAGGGAGAAGTGCACTGCATCATGCCTGCCAGTTTCCTGCCCGCGGCCAGGGGGGTCTGGGGAACGACTTCAACTGTCAACTGAGTTCAAGACAAGACGTTAGCTTCATCCTCTTGTCTTGAACTGAAGAGCAGCACAATCAACAGCATTTTTGTCGCATTAATTAATATTTCCTTCAAAATACATGTACATGTACAGCGTATGCACAATTGAACTCGGATGGGTAAAACAGAAGGACAGAATGTTACAAGTTATGACTAACTGTCCCCCAACGTAACCAGATAATACAGTCCGCGAGTGCGACAAAATGGCACAAACTGACAAAGAGTACTGAGGCATTCAGCGACCTGAGACCTAGGTCCAGCACTTCTCCAAGTCGCAAACCAACAGCCTTCCAACTTGGAAGGCTAAGCCTAAGGTTCGGAAAGGTCCAAGAGGGGAAGGAAAGCACAACGAAGAAGAGAAACGAGCTACGCCCCCACAGCAACAAAGACTGCCGAAAGTTACTGGATGATGACGAAACCAGTAAGACTATTGGACATACCGGCCTTACTACAACTCGACAACTCAAAGCAACAGACCACCTAAGTTACTTGGGAGGATCAAGTTTATGTAATATAAACTGTATGCCTTCAACGCTACAGGTAAACGGAACAGATTACCTGGAGACGTGCGCTCCAGACAAACGCTGGAGACCTTGAAAGCTGCAGCAGTACGGACTACCTTACGCAATTGGTCATTGACTGTGGCTGATGTATTCCTTGCTAGATACATGCAACAGTAGCAAATGCCATGTTTGACAATGGTTCCGTACTATTGATCTCCAGCTGACTATCATTTCCAGTGCATACACACCTTTTTTCTCTCTCTCTCATTCTTTTTCTTCCCTCTTCGGAACCTTGTCATTGGGAAGAAATTCCCGTTTGGGAAGAAATTCCCGTTTGTATTAAGCGAAGTAAAACAAAGTAAAACAAAAACAAACGTACGCTGTAGAGAGGGGAATCTAAGCGAAGGTTGGAAGGTTGTTGGTTTGCGCCTTGGAGAAGTGTTGGAGCTACATATAGGTGTCAGGTCGCTGAATGTCTCAGTACTCCTTGTTAGTTTTGTGCCATTTTGTCGCACTCACTGACTGTATAATTATGATCTGGTTACGTTGGTGGACAGTTAGTCATGACTCGTAACATTGTGTCCATCTCCTTTCTTACATTGTATGCCATTATATTAAAAATAGAAAGTTTATAAACTAGCGTTTCCGAGGGAGCAGTTTATTATAGCAACAAGAACGATTAATTGTACTGGAAGCATTTCCTAAATGTTAACATTACCCCCCCCCCCCCTCCGTTCACACATTCCTCTCGTCTGTACTTGTTTTCTGTGTCTTGCTGATGCTGGTGATTCACACATGCATGTTGTTACCTGCTGAAATTGTCTCCCGCTGAATACATGCATGTAGTATAATCACCTTTTTTGTTTCGCTCTTTTCCCCTTTCTTTTACTGTTATTAATTTTGTCCATAATTATAAGATTTGTTTCAAGTAGTCCCCATTCCATTGTTACGTACATTCGCTGATGAATACATGTACATGTATGTGAGGTGGTTGAAATCTATTTTTTCGAGAGGTTTCTCTTCTTCTTTACTTCTTCCCCTTCTTCCATGTCTTCACATATGAATCTTCTCATAGCCTTTAAAAATATATAATAATAACTTTATTAGGCTGACCGCCTACCATTAGGCCTTGACGGATTATGCTAATATTTTCGTGAAATTATGCTTTTCGCATTGCTGAAAAAATTGCAGAATTATGCTATTTTTATGCTAAAAGTTATCATATTATGCCGCATTATGCTCACATATGCTGCTAATGTACATGTATAATGATGGTTCTGTGCAAAATAACAGGGAATATTTTTGTATAGGGCGTTGTACTGTAGTAGCAAAAGTTCAACGGGGTCTACGCACCGTCCGACCTACAATTGTAGCTACGACCGTCACTGATTGTAGTGGACTGGACTGGACATGTTATGAAGGGAGTCCCAAACCTACATGACTGTATGACTTCCTGGTGCATCTACTTGTACTTGTACTTGTAGAACATGTACAACTCTATGGAATTTGATGCGAACAGGCGGATTATTCCATTATTTATGCAATTTGTATGCAATTTGCCTCGAATTATGCGATTATTCGATTTTGGTAGGAATTATGCGAAACATTATGCTAGCATAATCCGTCAAGGCCTACCTACCATGGGGTCCGCCGCATTGAAGGATGATGGTACAAGATGCATACTAGCTGTATGTATTGTTGGAGTGGTTTTGAGTAGTTTTGCTCATGGTGTTTGTACTGAGGGCGCAACTCATTCTATTCATTGGGTTAATATCATTCTTATCTCAAACGGAAACGTTTTAAATGTTTTCATCTTGCTAAGGCTCAATCTGCGGACGGAACTGTTTCGTCCTTTGGGGACTCATCAGCGCAGCGCAAATAGATGTTTTTACCATTATTTCACATCATCACTCCCTTGGTATTGACTCGTATGCCAACATCACTTGTCTTGATAGCCATATGACGATGTTAATGGACACGTCGAAAATGTACATGTACATGTACGTATTTCTTACAAACTCGGATCTTGAGCCAATAGCCAATACTATTATGTAAAGAGAAAAGGACCTATAAGTTACTAGTTATGACTAACAGTCTACCAAGGTAACCAAGGTAACGAGATAATATACAGTCAGATAGTGCGACAACAAGGCACAACACTGACAAGGATATTGAGACATTCGACGACCTGACACCTAGCTCCAACACATCTACGAAGCGCAAACCAACAACCTTCCAATTGGGAAGGCTCAGGTGCGGAAAGTGCCGATGAGAGGAAGGGCTGCGCAACGAAGATGTGCACGAGCTATATCCCTCTGCAACAAAGAATGTCCAACGTTAAGGGATGAGTTGATGATGACAAGACTAGTAAGCCCACCATTGGACAAACCAGTCTTACTACAACTGGAAAACGCAAGGCAACAGACCACCCAACTTGGGAAACGCAAAGGTTAGTATGTACAAAGACATGAAGAGGGGAAGCCAAGCGAAGACGAACTATCACGAATCGAAAGTCAACCTCATTGGAAATTTCCGCACCTGAGCCTTCCAAGTTGGAAGGTTGTTGGTTTGCGCTTCGTAAATGTGTTGGAGCTAGGTGTCAGGTCGTCGAATGTCTCAATATCCTTGTCAGGACTCAGGTTTTGTGCCTAGTTGTGGCACTATCTGACTGTATATTATATCGGTACCTAATCCTTGGTGGACTGTTAGTCATAACTAGTAACTTAGAGTTATAGGTCCTTTTCTCTTTACATAATGTAGTTCTTATTCCTATCAACCACCACACCACACCACACCACACCACACCACACCACACCACACCACACCACACCACACCGCTGCACTATCCGGCCGACCTCAACATGTGGCCACGGCACACCATCAGCAAAACAACAGTTCAGTTAGTACTCTGCTCCTTCAGACAGCAGCTGTTTCGATCATCAGGATCTCGTCAGTGAAGGTTGATATTGTAGAATGGCTAACAGATAGTGAACTTCACCCTTTTGTAGCAAAAGGAGGGGGGGGACACATAATGGCGCATCTTAAAGTGAAGATTAAGGCGCCAAGATTAAAGCTAAGCAAAGGCGATACTGATAGACTACACTGAGGATACTAGTAATAGAATCTGGACAAGGCCGAATACTGCTACTTACCCCTCTTAATCATAATTATGTTGTTCTTGAATTTCTTTATTTGAATTCGCAATTACACACGTGGGCTATAAGCCCAATTACATGTAAAATATCCTGCAAACTATTCATGAAATGATTATGTATAATTTGATATAATTTGATCTGCACGATTTCTATTCGCCCACAGCTGGTTGGATCTGTTGAGTTCGAAACAGGACGACTGACGACATATCCAGACATTACAACGGGAACAGGTAGGTTGGGGGAACGACATTTATTATAGACGACGAGACAAGAGACCAAGACGAACGAAACGACTACATTGAAGAGTGAGAAGAGAGAGAGAGAGAGATCAAGTCTGAACGGCAAGATAAAGGGCCTGGGTAGCTATGGCAAATATGGGCGCGCAAGTAGCTACCCAGGCCAACGGAACAAAAGGAGACAAAAGGTGAGTACGTAAGTGCATGCAGGCCAGCTAGAAAAGGTACGGGAGGAGGTACCTAACATACCACCCCTCCATGAAAAAAAATCCCGCGTCCTCGCGGAGAGAAAAAAAAGAGAGAAAAAGATTTAAAAAAATGAACTGGAGGAGAAAACACACAAACACACACACACATACTGCACGCGCGCATGGATCTCACGAAAGTGTGTACTAAAAATGCACTCGTACACATCATTCCTGTACTACTTATTGTGTGTAATAACTATTGGAGTTTGCCGAGGAACGTGAATTACTAGTATTTTGCACGGCTAATACAGCCTAGTTACACTTTTGCTAAACATCCAAAAATTAGAGCGTGGCTCACCATGATCGGACCCCTAACTTGGTTATGTTTTACGAACACA